AAAAGGTAAAGATACAAATTATGAACAACAAATATGCATCTATCAACAAGTGAATCTAAGAATCAAGTGAATAAATAATCTGATGAACAGAATGAACTGTTGATTATAATAGAATCAGGGACATAGAAAGGGAATGGACTGACTATTCCTGGGGGGGAAAGGGGTGTGGGAGATGCGGGAAGAGACTGGACAAAAATCGTGCACCTATGGATGAGGACAGTGGGTGGGGAGTGAGGGCGGAGGGTGGGGCGGGAACTGGGAGGAGGGGAGTTATGGGGGGAAAAAAAGAGGAACAAATGTAATAATCTGAACAATAAAGATTTAATTAAAAAAAAAAAAAAGAAGAAGAGCATTGAGACTGAGTAGGTTGTGCAGAGGCTCCAAGAACAGAGGTACGGAATCGTGTGCCAGGCTGGCTGCAACTGGATGCGCGGTTTTTTTCAACCAGAAGGGGATGCGAACTATCAAATCCACTGAGTGTGGTTGGGCGGGATACTGAGCTCTCAGACCCCTACGGGGAGAAGCGGGATGGCCTTGCAACAACCCGGAGATCGAGAGTGGCTGTCTCGCGGAGCTGCTCGCAGGCACTTGGGGACGCGAGTCGCTGAGTCGCAGAGAGGCGAATAGACTCGGAAACACCATTGCCCTTGGCCCCGCCCTGGTGATTCCCGGGGACCCCGCCCTACTCAAATTACATACTCAACCAAGCTGTGCTAGTGACACAAAGAGAACCACCAACGCTTTTGCAGCCCAGCCCAGCAGAATACAGATTTCAACTCCTCGCATACATAAGGGACACAATAAAGAAGCAGAATCAGGTTCGGAGGAAGCCAGAGCCGGACCCGCCTGGGCCGGCGACGTGGAACCGCTGTACCAGCAAATGCACAGGCAGGCCCACCAGATCCAGTATCACATGGGACGCTGGGTGACGGCAGACAGGCAGTCTGTGCACTTGGTAGAAAACGAAATCCAAGCAAGCATACCAGATATTCAGCCACCAGGAACGCCTGGAGATTTTGTCCAGCAAGGAGCTGCCCAACAAAGGACAGAATGCCAAACTTTGTGTCGCTGAGATGGCCCCCGTGAGGCTGAGGCGGCTCCCGCAGGGCCAAGGCGGTCCCCAAGAGGCTGGGACGGCCCCAGCGAGGCTGGGACAGCCCTGGTGGGGGTGGGACGGCCCTGGTGGGATTGACACGCCCCAGTGAGGTTGCAACTGCCCCAGTGAGGTTTAAACAGCCCCAGTGAGGTTGAAACGGCCCCTGTGAGGTCGAGACGGCACTGGTGAGGTCGAGACGGTCCAGGTGTGGTTGAAACAGCCCCAGTGAGGTTGAAACGGCCCATGTGAGGTTGAGACGGACCATGTGAGGCTGAAACGGCCCCAGTGAGGCTGAGACGGCCCCGGTGAGGTCAAGACGGCCCTGGTGGGGTCGAAACGGCCCCAGTGAGGTTGAAACGGCCCCCGTGAGGCTGGGACGGCCCCTGGGAAGCTGAGATAAATACCACATGAACTCACTCATTTATGGATAATAAGAAACATTATAGACTGATGAACAAAAATGGATACAGAGGCAGAGCAGCATTGAGCAGAATGTCAAACTACAGTGGGAACCCTGGGGAGGGTTGGGGGGAGTTGGAGATCAACTGAAGGACTTATATGCATGCATATGAGAATAACTAATGGACACAAGACACTGGGAGGTGGGGGAATGTCAAGGGGGAGAAAAAAGGAGACATGTGTAATAGTCTTTGTAATACTTTAAGAAATAATAAAAAAAAAGATTTCAGGCTCGATTCTGGTCAAGAATCAACCAATGAATTCATTAATAAGTGGAACAAAATTAATGTCTCTCTCTCTCTCCCTCCCCCTCTTCTCTTCTGTAAATAAATAAATAAAATCAATAAATAAAGATTTAGCCCTGGCCAGTTGCCTCAGTTGGTTGAGCATCCTCCAGTACACTGAAAGGTTGCTGGTTTGATTCCCAGTCAAATCACATGTCCAGGTTGTGGGTTTGGTTCCTGGTCAGGGTCCATACAGGAGGCCACTGGTTGATGTTTCTCTCTCTCTCTCAAAATCAATTTTTAAAAAATGAAGTTTGTCTTCTATTAAAATATACATATGGAACTATGGAAGACAGGAATGTTTGAACACATGTCTCTGCAGACAGATGAAGGAAAGCACAGTGTTAAAATGCATTTGCCTTACATAGCTAAAGCCATGAAAAGCTATAAGGATGACTTTACCATTATTTCTATCCTGGTTGGAGCTCTGAGTGAGTCAAAAGGATGGAATTTGGAAAACTCTTCAGTAAATATCTAGTGGATCCTGGTAATTTCTTCGTGGTTTCTTCTGATTTCTGCCATTTGAGTCAAAGTTTCCATTACAGTTACTATGATGAATCCCAGAAGGAGACTTATAGAGTCATTGAACATCTACATAAAATTGATATGAATATAATAAAACAATTAGACCCACTATCTTTTAGCAATTACTTGAAGAAATACAATAAAACTATATGCGGAAGACATCCCATTGGGGTGCTATTGAATGCTATCACAGAGCTCCAAAAGAATGGAATCAACATGATCTTTTTCTTTTGAATTATGCCAGTCAAGTCAGTGTGGAAACTGGTGAGTTATGCTGCTGGAGCACTCACAGTCCACTGAAGCTCTGATTCCTCAGGGATGCCACCTGCACATACTCATACTGTTCCAGGTCTCAGCCTAACCCTTACCAAGATTCTGGTCCTTGTTTGGGGGATTCTGGAACCTCAAACCAATAGAATTTTCTTCTTTTCTAATAGGTGTAGGTCTTCTTTAATTTCAACTCATTAAAAAATACTTTATAGTTTAGGGCAAGGGAAGGAAAACTGGCATGGAATATTTTTATTTTTAAAAAATGGCAATGTGCCCAGCTGGTGTGGCTCAGCAATTGAGTGTCAGTCCAGGAACCACGAGGTAGCCAGTTTGATTCTAAATCAGGGCACATTCCTAGGTTGTGGGCTCCATCCCCAGTAGGGATGCATATAGGAGACAGCCATCGATGATGTTTCTCATCGATGTTTCTATCTCTCTATCCCTCTCCCTTCCTCTCTCTCTAAAAATCAGTAGAAACATATTTTTAAAATAGTGTTGAATGCAAACTGTAATATAAAATAAAATAATTTTTTAAAAAATCAATTAAAAGACATATTTAAAAAATGGTAATGTAATGGCCCAGTTGTGGCAGTTTAAAAAAAAATAACCTGTATTTACCAATACCCTGAATTTGCATTCTGCAACTTATGCATGTATATTCTGCTTTCAAAATAGTTTTGCAAATTGTACACAAACTCAAAAGGTGGGAGCTTTTTAATAATGAAATTGCATTTATAAATTACCTGTATTAGAATATAATAAATCTCCAGTTGTAGTCAATTACTCCCATGTTGTGCAACAGATACCTTCTATTTTAGTTGCTAATAAAGGGCTACACAACTCAAAAGAAAGAATATAATATTCTGCACTATATACACGGTAAAACAGAGGTGAAAAACGGGAAATTAACACATAGGTCACTACATAATCACTATCTGAAATTTGTACTCTATGGATGTTATTTTTACAAATTTATTTCAATGTTCAAAAACTACATGACACAGACAAACTAAAAATTAATTCACATAACCATGATTCCTGAGTACCAGGGAATGCCAGACTTTCTCAGGTTTACTACTGAACAAGGGGGACCCCTCACTCCAACTGCCCACCCAGAAATATATTCAGAAGGGAGGGCGGTACAGGTGGAGGCTCGCAAAGTGCATGGAAAGTTCTGGTCCTGAAAGGGCTCCAGCCGCTCCCAGGCTTGGGAGTCCCACAGGATTTTGCCCTCCTCCGCAGGGAAACCCAGGTAAAACAGGCTGCTGCAGATGGCCAAGATGGCCCTGGCCGGCTTGCTCAGAGGATAGAGCCTCAGCCTCCGGACTGAAGGGTCCAGGCTCGCTTCCGGGGTCAGGGCGCACGCCCGCCCAGGTTGCGGGCTCTATTCCCAGTAGGGGGCCAGGCAGCCAATCAATGATTCTGTTATCACGGATCTCTCTCTCTCTCTCTCTCTCTCTCTCTCTCTCTCTCTCTCTCTCTCTCTCTCTCTCTTCCTCTCTGAAATGAATAAAAATACAAACAAATAAACAAAAAGATTGCAATGTCCCTAGCGGCCAAGAGGGGATGACAAGTCACTAGCTTCCCGAGGCCCCAGGCCTAGGGCGTATCGTGCTACAGCGGGACTCCCGGGGTTCCATCCACGGCCAATCCGAGAGCCTCTGGGAGGTTGAGGGGCCGAGGACGCTGGCGTGGTCCCGGCTACCCCCATCCTAAAGGCCACTTGGTGGTTACCCAGCGACCCCCCCCCCCCCCCACACACACACACACCAGATAATCACCCCCTTGGAGGTCGGGGTGAGCTGAGCGAACGCTTCCCTTCCCCTCCAAGAGCCACGTGGGAGAACCGAGGGGGAAAAGTGTGGGCATGGGGCCCACCCCCGGACCCAGGAGCTCAGCCTATTGCGTCCCCGCCCACTCCGGAGGGAACCTGCCACTTAGGTACGCGTCTGCCCCGGGGCGCTCGCGGGTGGGGGATTGTCCCGATGGGAGGCCAGCGACGCCCCATCTGCTCTCCAGCCCCGCCACGCCCGAATGCCTCCAGGCACCCAGAGGCCAGGGAAGCACCGTGAGGTGGAGACCAGAGGGTAGGAGCGGAGAGCTGATAGATTTCAAGTACCATCTCCCCGGTCCGGGCATTCAAGGGCCAGGCCTGTGGTTTTACAAAGTGTGGCTGCCAGACCCGCAAACCCGCCCCTGCAGATCGCGACCCTCCCCCCGCGATCAGAAGGCACCTGCCTAGCAGATCCAACCAGGATCCGCCCCGCCCCGCCCCGACTCCCCCGCGGTCGCCGTGCGCCCCCAGCCCGTGGGCTCCGATCTGAACTGCTTCCCCGCCCTCGGGAAGGAAACACTGACACACACCGTGCAGGCGCCCAGATGAGGGGCGAAGACTTTATTGCCATCAGCTCCAGGCTCCGGCGGCGGCTCAGAAGACCTTCACCGACTCCAGCTGCAGGTCCCCGCCCACCTCCAGCAGCCGCACGCGCGCCGGCGGGATGCGGTAGCGGAAGTGGTGGATCTCCGCGTCGCCCACCACCGCCTGCGGGGCCGGAGGGCGCTTCACTCAGGTTGCCGGGGCCACCGCGGGCTTCTGCCCACTCCCGCCCGCGCCCGGTGACCTCGGCAACCGCGGAACCCAGGGCCCCGACGGGAGGTGGGCGATGTTCCTTCTAACCTAACCCCTTGTCCCGAGGGTGCCACGAGGGGCCAGTGGGCACCCGAGTGCTTTGTGGGTGTCGGAGTGCATGTTGTTAGCGCGGACCCGGCGGCCGCTGCCTCGCTCCGGACCCGCAGATTTAAAGCGGCGAGCGGCGGGCGGTGGGGGGTCTGCAGCGACCGCTCCCTCCGGGACGTGTGCCTGTGCCCTGTCTCCCAGCCCATCCCCGCCCCTGTCACGGAGGCCCGACCTCAGGTGCCAATGAGCAGGGAGCGGGGTCTGGGGTGGAAGTGGGGCCAGCCTCTGCGGGGGACACCCGCGCTCCGGGCACTACATTCTTGCTCGCTTTGCCCTTGTCCCTGCACATACCTGTCCTGCAGACGCCAGGAGCGGGCACCACGGGAGGGAGAGAGACTGAGGACACCTGCCCAGCTCTGTCCACGCCTTTGCTCCCCCCTCCACCAAGGGCCTGGCTGGCCTTGCCCAGCCCCAGGAGGGATGTGATCCCGGTGCCCACCCCTGTGGCAGAGACACACCTTGAAACCCTCTTCCGTGGCGATGAGGAGCACGTCGAAGGGCTGCCCACGCTGAAAGGGAAGACCGTGGCCGCGCTCCTCCTGGCCCCAGCTGCCGCGCTCCTTGGTGTTGAAGACCACTGTGGACTCGTCCAGCCGGGGGTTGAAATGCAGCGCAGCCTCAGCGCCCTCCTCCTCGCTGCACAGCAGGTTCACGTGAAACCTGGGGAAGGGGAGGGGGTGGGGAGTGGCCAGGAGGAGATGTCAAGAGCCATGAAGCACCCAGACCAAGGCCAAGGGCCAATGAATTAAGACTCGCCATTGAACAAACGCAAGTTTACAGGGACCTGAGTATGTCACACCCCACAGAGGGAGGGGCTGTGGACTGGTACAGGGAACCCAGATGCCAGGCAGGCCAAACAACTTGCTGCACACACATCACCCAGCAAGGACTGTGATGCTGTGGCCTGGGTTGCCTTCATTCCCACAGAGCCTGGGGGTTGGCAAGGAGTCGTGGTGCTGAAGGCCAGGGTGCTCATGATTCCCAGGATGCTCCCAGTTCCCAGAGGGCTGGGAAGACTACCAGGGACCCAGTGGTCACAGGCACCCAAGTCCCAGGAAGCCATACAATTGATTGCTTAGGCTCTCGGATGCCCCGGACGCATCCAATCACAGGACACACTCCCAGAGTTCCTGGTGACTCCGTTTGGAGGTCCTAGAACTATAGGTAGGAGGCCTGAAATGGTCTTGGAACCCACAGATTCTTAGGGACCCGGCTCCAAAATCAGGGGACACATTTGTGGGAACACCAGATTCCAAAAGGTTGGTAATGGCCTGGGGATTCCAAACCCTGGTGGGCAAAGGTGACCCTGGGGCCCTTACCTCTGGGCTGTAAGAAGTCAGAGCCAGCTGGGCTGAGGCCTCTGCGCACCCCCACCCCTTACCTCTGGAAACTGGGTCCCACTGGAGTCTCACCTGCGAGCCTTGTCGGGGACAACACCACGAATTCTCATCACAGTGCCCACTCTGACACCCTCGGGCAACGAGGTCTTGTGTGGCACGTTCTGCAAGAGTCCGAGTGAGAGGGGATGAGTGAACCGGGGTACCAAGGGGGTGAGACAGATGGGTCACCCCAGGTAGCAAACCACCAGGACCCAGACCAGCACAATCAGAGAGGAGAAAGGCACAGAGGGAAGCAGAGAGTCAGACACAGAGTTGTTAAGGGAAGCACTCAGGATTAACAGAAAAATATTGAGGGAGAGAAGCCAAGGGGACATGGGAGCATCGGGATGGGGATGGGTGGGTCCACCCAAAAGGCAGCCTCCGGACACTTCACAGCACAGCTGACCGACCACCCACTTTCTCCTCTGAAACAGCAGACTTCAGCCAGGCCCCAGCCCCTCCCCTAGGCTGGTGCAACCTTGGGTCAAAGGCCCCCCAACCCTCAGACCCTAGAACACTCACAGAGCTCCCTGCCATGGCTGGGATGGTGGGACAGACAATGGTGGTGTCAGGTATGGCTGCTGAGACCTTAAGTTGAAAGCAGGTGTGGCTGGGCCTGATGACTCACCCCATGTCTTTCCAAATCCACCACCCACACCTGGCACAGACCCTGGCCCTGGGGCCAGGGTGGCCCAGCACCCTCTTCCTGGGGCCTCTCACCCTTCCCTCCATCCAGGCCCTTTTCCAGCCGCCATAGCCCAACACTCTAGAGAAATCCAGGCTGGGAAGGGTGGGGTGGGGTGGGGGGAATGCTGAAAGGTGGCTCTGAAGTCAAGGAATAGGAAGGGTGGGGGAACTAGCAGAAACCCCTCCTACAACCTAGCAACCCTCCTGCAGGTGAAGAGGCTGCTCCAGACGGAGAGTGGAAACTTTGGGTGGAGACAACCAGACTCCGCACCTGGTCCACACCTCCCCCCACACCCCCGGGCCTCCCAGGCACTCCCCACCCCCCTCACCACACAGGAGGCTCCCCAGGTGCTGGTGGAGCCAGTGCCTTGGGGACAGAGGATAGGCAGCTGCACTTAGGGGAAGGCGCCAAGCTCCCCGTTTGGTGGTGGGGAAAGCCCAGGCTTAGAGCGGGACAGCCTCCCCCCAAAGGCCTCTCAGCCAGGAAGGGCCCTGCCTGAGCTGGAGTCCAGGGCTGTGTGCCAAGGGCATGTCATCAGACTTTAAACATCGAGGACAGTGGGCTTGAGGTTATAGTACCAACTGCTCAGGGTGGAGAGAGTCCATGATGGACTCCATGGCTCTTACCAATGAGGTGGCCATGTCTGGTCCCAGTCTACTGCTACTGTATCCCATGGCACAGCTTCACCCAATTGCCTCATGGGATGCACATTTCTTCACAGGCTGCCAACCTGCAAGTCCAAGCTTGACTTTGGTGTTGGGCCAGATGAATTCAGTCTGCTATCAGCTTGGTTTCTGGTTTATTCCTGATAGCTCAGATGTGCGCACCCTTGATGATTCTTACTCATTTGTGGAGATTATCTTCACATCAGTGCTGGAAATACATTTTCGAGAGCATGGTTCTTCATTTTTAAATAAGTAGTGAATGTACTCATTCACAGTACTGTATTCTCAAGCTCTACTTCACACTCATAAGTCGTGCGGCTCTAACAGAATACTTCACCGAGTTTTGTCCAATACATAGGAGACCTGGGCAACCACCACCCCAGCCCAGTTTCTTCCAGTCCCCGAAACAACGGCCCCCTCCACCTGCCCCAGGACACCACGTCACTGCTCAGCATTCAACAGCCTCCAAGTTCACTTGTCATGACATGAAGAAGAGCGGTGGCCAGCAGGCTGAGTGTGCTGGCTTCTGCAGCTCCTTCGGGAAAGAATTCTGCTGCTTGTACCCACGGTTGTTGTAGGAGTTGGAATACCACGCTCTGTCAATGAATTTTCAAATTAAAAAAAAAAATCTAAAACCTGATGTTTTTCTTAGTCGAGGAAGCCTTAAGTTCTATTTATAAATATATGAAGTAATCCTTTTCTGTCGTGTTTTTTTTTTTTTTGGCTTGATAAACTGATTTTGTTATACTTTTTTACATATTTTAGGCTTCATGGGAATTTTGCTTTAGATTAAATTTAAAGTATTTCTATTGTCCAAAAAAGTCTCCAAGTCATAATGAATTCTTGTAATTTCCACGCTGTGGCTGTGAATACCTGTTGCTCCTCCTCTGCTTCTTCCTTTCCTTCCTCTGCTGGACTATTGGGTCCTACAGCCTTTAGGTGGGTGAGCAAGGGCTGCCTCCTTAGGGGGCGGCGCCCATGGGTCCTGAGGGGCCACCTTTTCCCTGGGGGCTGCATCCAGCTGGGGTGTCAGAGGAGCAGGTAAGGAGCGGGCTGACCCTCAGGGTGTGGGGTTGGAGGGTAAGGAAGGAAGCAGGAGAGGGGGTACCCAGCCCTGAGCAGGGAAGAGGTTCAAGGGTGGGGCCCACTGAGTGGTACTTCAGCCAGCAAGGCCAGGAGGGGGTCCCCTGGGGAAGAAACACTGTGTGGGTGCAGGATGGCAGACCACTCATTGGAGGAGGTACAGATAGGGGAAAGGGGAAAGACCATGCATATGTGACCTTGGAGTGGAATTAGAGGAATACCTCTGAGCTAATGGTTTCATGAATTGGTCTTTACTTGGGGGTGGGGCCAACGTCTTTTCTAAATGAAGTTTTTATTATGTTAAAATATATAAGTAATGGAATATTCACCTTGTAACCATTTTTGAATGGGCTATGGTTCACTCTGTGCGATTAAGTACTTTCATATTGTTCTGCAGCCATCCCACCATGCATCTCCAGCTGTTTCACCTTCCCCACCTCGGCTCCGTTCCCACTAAACTTAGCTCCCCACCCCTGTCCCAGGTCGTGGCAGACACCGTTCTGCTTTCTGTCCTTGTGGATGTGACTACTCCAGGGACCTGGTATGGATAGAATCATACAGTAAATGCTCTGCTGTGACTGGTGAGTGTATATACAAACCCAAGCAGTCCCTGGATTATCTCCGCTGTGAACAAAAGCAGCCTGAAGTCTCCAAAAAGCTGACGTTGACAGAGCGTGGTATTCCAACTCCTACAACAACCGTGGGTACAAGCAGCAGAATTCTTTCCCGAAGGAGCTGCAGAAGCCAGCACACTCAGCCTGCTGGCCACCGCTCTTCTTCATGTCATGACAAGTGAACTTGGAGGCTGTTGAATGCTGAGCAGTGACGTGGTGTCCTGGGGCAGGTGGAGGGGGCCGTTGTTTCGGGGACTGGAAGAAACTGGGCTGGGGTGGTGGTTGCCCAGGTCTCCTATGTATTGGACAAAACTCGGTGAAGTATTCTGTTAGAGCCGCACGACTTATGAGTGTGAAGTAGAGCTTGAGAATACAGTACTGTGAATGAGTACATTCACTACTTATTTAAAAATGAAGAACCATGCTCTCGAAAATGTATTTCCAGCACTGATGTGAAGATAATCTCCACAAATGAGTAAGAATCATCAAGGGTGCGCACATCTGAGCTATCAGGAATAAACCAGAAACCAAGCTGATAGCAGACTGAATTCATCTGGCCCAACACCAAAGTCAAGCTTGGACTTGCAGGTTGGCAGCCTGTGAAGAAATGTGCATCCCATGAGGCAATTGGGTGAAGCTGTGCCATGGGATACAGTAGCAGTAGACTGGGACCAGACATGGCCACCTCATTGGTAAGAGCCATGGAGTCCATCATGGACTCTCTCCACCCTGAGCAGTTGGTACTATAACCTCAAGCCCACTGTCCTCGATGTTTAAAGTCTGATGACATGCCCTTGGCACACAGCCCTGGACTCCAGCTCAGGCAGGGCCCTTCCTGGCTGAGAGGCCTTTGGGGGGAGGCTGTCCCGCTCTAAGCCTGGGCTTTCCCCACCACCAAACGGGGAGCTTGGCGCCTTCCCCTAAGTGCAGCTGCCTATCCTCTGTCCCCAAGGCACTGGCTCCACCAGCACCTGGGGAGCCTCCTGTGTGGTGAGGGGGGTGGGGAGTGCCTGGGAGGCCCGGGGGTGTGGGGGGAGGTGTGGACCAGGTGCGGAGTCTGGTTGTCTCCACCCAAAGTTTCCACTCTCCGTCTGGAGCAGCCTCTTCACCTGCAGGAGGGTTGCTAGGTTGTAGGAGGGGTTTCTGCTAGTTCCCCCACCCTTCCTATTCCTTGACTTCAGAGCCACCTTTCAGCATTCCCCCCACCCCACCCCACCCTTCCCAGCCTGGATTTCTCTAGAGTGTTGGGCTATGGCGGCTGGAAAAGGGCCTGGATGGAGGGAAGGGTGAGAGGCCCCAGGAAGAGGGTGCTGGGCCACCCTGGCCCCAGGGCCAGGGTCTGTGCCAGGTGTGGGTGGTGGATTTGGAAAGACATGGGGTGAGTCATCAGGCCCAGCCACACCTGCTTTCAACTTAAGGTCTCAGCAGCCATACCTGACACCACCATTGTCTGTCCCACCATCCCAGCCATGGCAGGGAGCTCTGTGAGTGTTCTAGGGTCTGAGGGTTGGGGGGCCTTTGACCCAAGGTTGCACCAGCCTAGGGGAGGGGCTGGGGCCTGGCTGAAGTCTGCTGTTTCAGAGGAGAAAGTGGGTGGTCGGTCAGCTGTGCTGTGAAGTGTCCGGAGGCTGCCTTTTGGGTGGACCCACCCATCCCCATCCCGATGCTCCCATGTCCCCTTGGCTTCTCTCCCTCAATATTTTTCTGTTAATCCTGAGTGCTTCCCTTAACAACTCTGTGTCTGACTCTCTGCTTCCCTCTGTGCCTTTCTCCTCTCTGATTGTGCTGGTCTGGGTCCTGGTGGTTTGCTACCTGGGGTGACCCATCTGTCTCACCCCCTTGGTACCCCGGTTCACTCATCCCCTCTCACTCGGACTCTTGCAGAACGTGCCACACAAGACCTCGTTGCCCGAGGGTGTCAGAGTGGGCACTGTGATGAGAATTCGTGGTGTTGTCCCCGACAAGGCTCGCAGGTGAGACTCCAGTGGGACCCAGTTTCCAGAGGTAAGGGGTGGGGGTGCGCAGAGGCCTCAGCCCAGCTGGCTCTGACTTCTTACAGCCCAGAGGTAAGGGCCCCAGGGTCACCTTTGCCCACCAGGGTTTGGAATCCCCAGGCCATTACCAACCTTTTGGAATCTGGTGTTCCCACAAATGTGTCCCCTGATTTTGGAGCCGGGTCCCTAAGAATCTGTGGGTTCCAAGACCATTTCAGGCCTCCTACCTATAGTTCTAGGACCTCCAAACGGAGTCACCAGGAACTCTGGGAGTGTGTCCTGTGATTGGATGCGTCCGGGGCATCCGAGAGCCTAAGCAATCAATTGTATGGCTTCCTGGGACTTGGGTGCCTGTGACCACTGGGTCCCTGGTAGTCTTCCCAGCCCTCTGGGAACTGGGAGCATCCTGGGAATCATGAGCACCCTGGCCTTCAGCACCACGACTCCTTGCCAACCCCCAGGCTCTGTGGGAATGAAGGCAACCCAGGCCACAGCATCACAGTCCTTGCTGGGTGATGTGTGTGCAGCAAGTTGTTTGGCCTGCCTGGCATCTGGGTTCCCTGTACCAGTCCACAGCCCCTCCCTCTGTGGGGTGTGACATACTCAGGTCCCTGTAAACTTGCGTTTGTTCAATGGCGAGTCTTAATTCATTGGCCCTTGGCCTTGGTCTGGGTGCTTCATGGCTCTTGACATCTCCTCCTGGCCACTCCCCACCCCCTCCCCTTCCCCAGGTTTCACGTGAACCTGCTGTGCAGCGAGGAGGAGGGCGCTGAGGCTGCGCTGCATTTCAACCCCCGGCTGGACGAGTCCACAGTGGTCTTCAACACCAAGGAGCGCGGCAGCTGGGGCCAGGAGGAGCGCGGCCACGGTCTTCCCTTTCAGCGTGGGCAGCCCTTCGACGTGCTCCTCATCGCCACGGAAGAGGGTTTCAAGGTGTGTCTCTGCCACAGGGGTGGGCACCGGGATCACATCCCTCCTGGGGCTGGGCAAGGCCAGCCAGGCCCTTGGTGGAGGGGGGAGCAAAGGCGTGGACAGAGCTGGGCAGGTGTCCTCAGTCTCTCTCCCTCCCGTGGTGCCCGCTCCTGGCGTCTGCAGGACAGGTATGTGCAGGGACAAGGGCAAAGCGAGCAAGAATGTAGTGCCCGGAGCGCGGGTGTCCCCCGCAGAGGCTGGCCCCACTTCCACCCCAGACCCCGCTCCCTGCTCATTGGCACCTGAGGTCGGGCCTCCGTGACAGGGGCGGGGATGGGCTGGGAGACAGGGCACAGGCACACGTCCCGGAGGGAGCGGTCGCTGCAGACCCCCCACCGCCCGCCGCTCGCCGCTTTAAATCTGCGGGTCCGGAGCGAGGCAGCGGCCGCCGGGTCCGCGCTAACAACATGCACTCCGACACCCACAAAGCACTCGGGTGCCCACTGGCCCCTCGTGGCACCCTCGGGACAAGGGGTTAGGTTAGAAGGAACATCGCCCACCTCCCGTCGGGGCCCTGGGTTCCGCGGTTGCCGAGGTCACCGGGCGCGGGCGGGAGTGGGCAGAAGCCCGCGGTGGCCCCGGCAACCTGAGTGAAGCGCCCTCCGGCCCCGCAGGCGGTGGTGGGCGACGCGGAGATCCACCACTTCCGCTACCGCATCCCGCCGGCGCGCGTGCGGCTGCTGGAGGTGGGCGGGGACCTGCAGCTGGAGTCGGTGAAGGTCTTCTGAGCCGCCGCCGGAGCCTGGAGCTGATGGCAATAAAGTCTTCGCCCCTCATC